AGAGAGAGAGAGAGAGAGAGAGAGAGAGAGAGAGAGAGAGAGAGAGAGAGAGAGAGAGAGAGAGAGAGACATAATACGGGCGCACACGTGGATTACGAAGAAGGGCACGGAAAATGGGAAGAGCACGAAGACGGGAATAGGGGTAGAGGCGCTGAATACAACGATGAGCACAAAGATGACAATAGGGGTAGAGACGGGAGAAAGAGAGAGAGGGAAGATGGCATCGTTGCACGTTTAATAGTGTCGAACGGTAAGTGCTGGATAAAAGCTGAACAAGACGACGGGTGTGACCGACGACAGCTACGAATACGGGTATTGGGGAAGGGCCGAGATAAAGAGAGGGAGGGAATGACAACATTGGGGGAAGGGGCGAGAGAGAAAGAGAGAGAGTGAGAGAGAGAGTGAGAGAGAGAGTGAGAGAGAGAAAGAGAGAGAGAGGGAGGGAGGGAGTGAAAGAGAGAGAAGGAAAGTAAGAGAGAGATAGAGGGAGAGAGATAGAGGGAGATAGATAGATAGATAGATAGATAGAGAGAGAGAGAGAGAGAGGGAGAGAGGGAGAGAGGGAGAGAGAGAGAGATTGAATGGGAGAAGCACTGGAGACCACGTCAGAGCGTGTTTAGTAAAGAAGCATGACGGCGAAAGTATAAAGCGGGGACATCTATAAGGGTGAGATACGTCAGCAACATAGGAATCAAGAAGGAGGTAAGTCAATGACTTAATGCTGGTGGAGGAAAAGATTTCAACATTTGCTACGTTATTGTAATCATCACCATTGGATTACTCTGAAGGTGAATGGATTAATCAGAAAAGATCTATATTCTGTTACGGGGACAGGAATCACGAAAGGCAACATTTGTTACGTTATTGTAATCATCACCATTGGATGGATTAATCAGAAAAGATCTATATTCTGTTACGGGGACAGGAATCATGAAAGGTTAAGAGGGTCCAAAAAAAAAAAAAAAAAAAAAAAAGGGTGGTGAGGTAGGGAGGGGGGGGAGGGAAGTAGACCAGAAAGCAAGAAAGGGGGAAAATGTCGTTCGCATATGTC